GTTATATATAATATAACTCTTAACTGCAGCAGCACCTGTTCAGCCCCTCTACATCAGTTCTACTCGATTCACTTTGGGTTGGGTCGGTTCTGCTCAGTATTCGTGTGTCTCCACACAGTGGGTGTGATAATGTGCAGACCGTCCGCAGCGGCTTCAACTGTTGTATTAAAAATAATAATAAAATAAAATAAAAAAGCTGTTGTGGTCTTACCGTTCGGATTTCACTTTTATTTATTTTCACGGTGCTGTTTAGCTCAGTGCTTGTGTAACCGTGCGGCCAGTATGCTGAAAACCACCCGTGATCTGCTCAGCTTCGTCTCCTTCACCTCTCTCCAGGAAGTGTTTTCAAGTTCTGCCTTTTTCAAAAAGGCAGTTTTATTTCACCACATTGTCGTATCGCGCCGCGCGCTCGTATTCCTAAACAAAAGCAGCTCTCTCCAGGAGGAAATTTGCTGTCAGTCGATCCAAGAGTTAATCCATGGGCAGAATTCTGCTGACATTAAAATCATAAGCGTGCTGTACTCGCTTCTACCCGAACCACAGGAGAGGAGGTTCTGAGACAGCGCGGCTGTGGAGCGCGCTTGGAGAGGTGCATTGGGTTGAGACCAAGCCGAGTCGAACCGCATACAAGAGAGTCCATGGAGATTGTGTGCCGAGGCTGTCACTGTTAACAGTGAACAGCAGAGGATGCAAAGTAATAGCTTTCTTTGAGGCACCGAAATAAAGCACCAAAGTTAGAGATGTGTTTCGGTCTGTGTACTACCGTGGATTTTCGCCCCGGTGCCATACTGGAACCGAGTTTCGGTACCCAACCCTAGGCCCAGGCCTCCCTTGAAAAAGAGATCTGAGATCTCAAAGGGACTTGCCTGGTAAAATAACGTGTAGCGACTATCAAATCCAACCTTTTAGTCGCTTCTGGGTGCAGGGGAATCCAGGCATTTGACGCGCTCCAATTAGTATAATGTCCAGACTGGGAGATATGTTTGGGGATGCTCCCATTTATTATATTATTTTTGATTATTAAATTTTACAAAGTCCAGAGTGACGGTCTAAGGCAGCTTGCCAAATAGATGGAAAATTATGGTAAAATGTGAATATGAGAGAGGTTAACCAGCATTTTAACAGAGAGCGGTAAAAACCGTGTGACCTCCCTATACCCTTCACCTTTCCTTCTCACCTTGCCACCTAAATAGATTTCCCATCTACACCGCCACCAGTGGTAGAGCAAAAATATAGGTCGAAGTGTCAATCCAAATAAACAAACACTGACACCAAACCAAACGAAACTATAAAAGCAAAATAAGAGATGTTCTAGTCTGTCCCCAACAAACCCTCACCTGGGGCTACTGCACGCAGTCTATGGTTGTACCTTTGTGCATCTGCTTGTGCTAGCCATTTTCACGTTTCTGATGTTCTAACATAAACACTGTTGTAAAGGCGGAGCTAACGTAAAACAAAAGGTTGTCAGGGCGTTGCCAACAGCAGCTTATTAGCATAAACAGCTCGCTCTGAAGAGAGCTCAGAACAAACAGAACTGACCAGGTGAAATCTTGTGTATTAGATCTAATGAACATGTTTTATATAGCCCACAGATGTATCTTCAAAGAACCATAACTGGTCCCCTTTAATCTCACTTTTTTCTGCCCTCTTCAGCCTTTTAGCAATAGTTCTACTCCTTTTACTTTCCATCTGCATATGTCTGCATTTTCAGCTTTTGTTTCATTCAGTTAATTCAGGGTTCCACCTCAGCTGTTACATTTAAGCAACATTTAAAAATATTTCAGCTTCTTCAGCAGCTTTCAGCTAAATTATTCAGCAATAAGCATTCACACTGTGTTTTTAAGGAAATGCACTTTCTCTAGTTGTTATTATAATCTAATCACAGCTCATGTTTTCTTCTCAGCCATCACAGATCTAGAATCAGGTTTTTAAAGGTAACCAACAGATGAAGGAGTCTTCATAAACCCAGAACAGTATCTGATAACTGCACAGTGGATGTGATAAGACAGGGATGTATACCTGTGTTCCTCTCCCTCCAGCAGCTTTCTGTATGCGTTGATTTCCATGTCCAGAGCCAGTTTAACATCTAGCAGCTCCTGGTACTCACTGAGCTGAGCATTCATTCTGTCTCTCAGCTCGGCCATTTCTTGTTCTTTTCCTTCGATGGCACGGCGGTGCATGTCTCGCTCTGCTGACAAGGCGTCCTCCAGCTCTTTGATCCGATCTTCTGAGGCAGTCAGCTGCAGACACAAACAAACACCAGACAGAAATATTAGGACTTTATCTCAGTCTACGATGACTCCTTTTACTTTTCACCATAAGAAGCAAAGCAAAAACAATAAAGCTGATCTTTCCTGAGCAATAAAACGACAGCAGTGCCTCAGCTGCTGCTGGACTGAACCAACACCGGACTCAGATTACTGAGACTGAATCAACACTTTCAGGGTGGATTACAGTGATTTTTGGTTTGGATTTACAAATCAAAACACTTCAAAGCTAAAATTAAACAAAAAAGTTATAAAATAATAATAATAATAATAATAATAATAATAATAATAATAATAATAATAATACATTAGTCTTATATAGCGCTATTCGAGACCCTCAAAGACGGTTTACAATTTTCATGCATCATTCATTCACACACTGATGATAGTAAGCTACATTGTAGCCACAGCTGCCCTGGGGCAGACTGACAGAGGTGGGGCTGTCATGCTGCGCCACCGGCCCCTCTGATCACCATCAGTAGGCAAGTTGGGTGACGTGTCTTGCCCAAGGACACAATGACTGTAACGGCTGGACTGGGGATCGAACCGGCGACCTTCCGGTTCCAGGGCGACTCCCCGAATCACTCTGCCACACCCTCCCCACAAAAAAAAAAAAAAAAAAAAAAAAAAAAAAAGAAAGAAAGGTGCATTCAATCAAAATTGTTGTTGAAAGATTTCATATAAGACATCCAACTCTGTTTTTCTTCTGAAACAAGGCATCTATCAACCTTCACTGCTCACTAACTTGTGTGTGTTGTTTGCTTTGACCTACATCATGTGTCAAACTCGAGGCCTGCAGGGAAAATGGGGACCGGCACTAAGTTTTATGTGACCTTTGAGAGCTTCAAAGATGCATAAATGTCTTAAAACTAGATACCCCATAGCGGTAACATAATGACCCCCGCGCGCAGAAATGAACCAGAACTCAAAAGTTTTTTATTTCTAATAAATGTCATGCTACTAGGTGCAGCCCAAAATTGTGGTGGTTGGGTGGTCTTTTTCCTGATGGATAGCCCCTCATCAGAGCCAAACAAAGGAAACCTGAAGCTCCTATGTTTGTGTTTGAGCTATAACCATTTGTGTATGTCCAGATACCCCTTTTTCAGATAAAGTGGGGGTCCAGGGGGTGGGGGGCACTGATTGGTGGGCCTGATGGATAGAGCTTCATCAGAGCTAAATAACAAAAAAAAATTGAAGTTATGTTGAACAGTTTCTGAGTTACAAGCATTTTTGCATGTCCTGACACCCCCTCTTTGAAAGGAGCCCCCTCCTCAAATATGGGGTCTATCGTAAAACCGTTGGCTGGTGCAGTGTAGGTCAGACTCATCTACAGCCCTGCCAAATTTCATGTTGATTGGTGCAGCTATTTTTGTGCTACGGCTGACCAAAAATCACTGAAAAAAATAAAATAAAATAAAAATAAATAAACAGTACGAAAACAATATGACTCCCATTTACGCTTCGCATGCGGGGGTCATAATAAGTATATTCTGCTTTAAAGACAGCATTGACCATAAACTACATCCCTTATAATGAATATCAAGCATTTTTCCCAGAAAATGAAAGCATCTCACTTAAGGTAGAGGTGCACAGGGTTCAAAAGCAGCTGGTAAAATTTCCTGCTTAAAATATTCATTTTACTGCATTTCCATCAGCTGCTTCAGTTTATAAGATGTTATAAATGATGTTGTGCAGAAAAAAATGTGGAGCTCAGTTATTGTTTGTTGGCGGTGCTCAGCCGTAACGAGACGAGGAACATGTTTCATGTTTAGTCAAATCGAACAGGAAACACTACATCGTCCTGTCTCTCCCCTTGTACAGACATTTTACCAGCATCTAACAAAAATAAGTCAAATAAAACATCCATGTAAGCCCTAAAAATGAACAGTCTCTGTGCTTTGGAGTGTGCCAGTGATGAAATACAGTCTAAATGTGTGTTTATGTGTTACCTGTTTCTGCAGGGCACTCATCTGATAACCAAGGCTCTCAATTCTCATGCGGGACTCCTGCACCTCCTCTCTGGCTGAGTTCATAGCTTTGTCATTCATCTCAGAGGACACCTTGGCATTATCCAACTAAACAACAAGAGATAAATACAGATTTAATTAAAAAAATAAAACAAAATACAAATATCAACAGGGCAGAAAAGGTTTCCCACCTTGGCCTTAAATGTGCTCTCCAGTTCATCCTTATAAATAGAGACTTGTTCATCATGTTGCTTCCTCAAATCCTGGTAGGATCACAGAAACCAGATTATGTTAAGTTCTCCTGAAGCATAGTTAGCTTAGGTTTCAAAAATATATAATGCTTGTTCATACTCCAAGATACTTTTAAGAATACATTTTTATTTTGCTAAGAAAACTAAAGCTTTAAAAGCTTGTTCCAGAAAGGATGAGTCTGTTTCACAAACACCACCTCTCTGCGTCCTTAAAACCAAACTTTAGACAATCTTCAGTTGTTTTCTCTCACTTCTATCCTTGATTCTGTCAACATTGAGAGCTTTGATCACGAGTGAAAAAATAAACAGTATTTTGACAACAAAAGCAATAAGAACAACACAGGTTTGGGGTGAACTTGAAGCCAAAGTGACAACGTTCTTACTTTGTCGTTCTTACCTGCTAATATAAATATTTGCATCTGCTAAAGTTGCAGCATGTATCTAACAAAACACAGTATCCAGTTTACTGTGGACAGGGCCTTAATTAATAAATTAATTAATAAATAAATAAATAAATAAATAGATAGATAGATAGATAGATAGATAGATAGATAGAT